AAAAAAAAAAGAGGTAAGACAGTATAGGCCATGACTAAGTAAACATGAAAAGAGCATGGGAAATTACATTTGCTTCATACCAGCGACCACAATGCTGCATTTAAGCCTCAGAACCACTTTTTTTAAGCCTGTGTCTTTATCCCCATTCCACAGATAGGGCAACTGAGATGTAGGCAAGCTACATCATTTGTCTGAGATCAGGCAACTATGTAGGACCTGAGATTTAACCCAGGTCCATATGTTTTCAAATTCCATGCTTCTCCCTCTTCACCACACTGCTTCAACCCAAGGACAAGAATTTGAAATGCTTACCAAAAATGACATCCTGTCTTTTGATGACATCCTTCTCCTGCCTACTGCAAAACGAAGGATCTACCACAAGGCTCCAAGATTCTGCTTCAAACTCCTGGGCATCACTGCTGAGGTCACTCCACAGAGAAGAATCCATGACATCTAGTATGTGGTTAGAAAAGGAAAGCCAGAAGTATAATCACACATGCTACAAACAGACCTTTTAAGTATTATGTTTACAGGTTCAGCACACTAAATAATTCTGCTGTGAAAACAGAGCAGTTAAGCCAAAATACTACATTGGGAGTAGAAACACCTGAAAACCAAAATGCTGAAATGGTCCAAATCAAGATAGCTTTTATGAATGCAAAGAAGAATCAGACATTGAAGTAGTGATTACATCTACGATGGGAAGAAGGAAAACTGAAGGCTCTTTTGTTTGTTTTGACTTGCTCTCTTTTAGTTGCTTTGTTTTGTTTTGTTTTGAGACATGGTCTCACTATGTTGTTTAACCTGATCTTGAATTTACAATCCTCCTGCCTCTGCCTCCTGAGTGCTGGGATTACATGTTTGCTACCATACTCAGTCTTCTATTTTAGTTTGATTTTGGGTGACCTTAAGCATATATACTGTGCTTATGTAATCTTTTGCCCCAGGTTATTTTGCACATGCTTTTTCAAATCTGCATTTTGAACTTGTCCACTTAGTTTGCCCTTGACTTGGCAAAGCAGAGTGTAAAGATTTGGGTCACAAGTGAGGTTTTCAATACAATTGTAAACACATACACATACAAAAACACCCTTCAGGAAATCTAAAACCAATTTGCCCTAAACAGCACTCATTAGGGAGATTCCAGTTCATGGCATTTCAGATGGGACGAAAAAGGACTTAGAGCAACAGGGTCCTCTCCTCTCTCTCTTGTCATACTCCCTACCATTTGGTTTTTCTTCATCTATTGGTGCAAACTTAGATACAAAAAACAATTCCCAGATTAGGTCCTGTCCTACAAAATACACTTTAAAAATGCTTTTGACTCCCTAGAAGTAGTGGGTAACAGGTGGAGACAGCTATCTCAGCTATCCGACCAGAGCAGTCTCAACTACTTAAACTAATTACAGCAAATATATTTTAACATAGGATCCTGTTTCACTCCATCAATAGCTGTACCACATTTTTAAAATGATAAGCACAAAATGGATTTCATTCTCTTCATTGTGTGCATAGTCTATTCTTCTGGGAATATGTCCATTTAAAAATTATATCCAAGGTTGGAGGAGTGGCTCAAGCGATAGAGTGCCTGCTTTGCAAGCTCAAAACCCTGAGTTCAAACCTCAGTACCACCACCAAAGAAAAGAGAAATTGCATCCTTTTTTCCTTGATCATTGTCTGGTTGTTTCCATTGGTACTAAAATTCCCTGCCTTTCAAAAGCAGAATCTATATCAAACAAATACATGACCAGACTCCTTTCAGTCTTACTTCTTCAGAAAGTATTCCTTTCAGCAAATGCTCACAAAGACTCAAATAAATGCAAACCTAGCTTCTCCTCACCTTCCATCATGAAAGACTCTGTGGAGGGAGAAGAGCCCATGGACTGGATCAGCTCATCGGAATGAGACCTGCTTCTCCAGTTGCTCCTGTCACCCTCAGACTCCAAGGACGTCACTGACCTCCTGAAGCTGAGAGGGAGGGAGAGGAGAGGAGTTAGCCCCAGCAGCCTCTCTGAGCCATGAGGGTGAAGCAGCACGATGAGCCTTACCTTTCTAAGGTGGTGCTCGGGACGCTTCTGGACAACGGATGGACCTGCCCTGCAGTTTCCTTCCTCCCAGCTGGCAATCCAATAGGCATGGAGGATGAAGGGTGCAAGGAGAGTCCAGGCTGAGGGACGTCTCTAACTGAAGAACCTGGATCACAGTAGAAGCTTCGTGTGCTTTTCATACAGGTCATTAATTACAAGCAAAGAGAGCCAGAAGCCAGAAAGGTAAATCCTCAAACAGCCATTTCTAATGTGCTGCATACTCAGCCTAGAAGCCGGTCTCCTCATCACCTCCTGACACTTGCTCCAAATGCCCCTTCCTCTTCACACCCTCCTGACACATATTGCAGGCCTCCCTCTGTACCTCCACTTGGGGACTGTTGGTGTTTGACATGACACAGGCAAACAAGAAAATGGAATGGGGAAACACTGGCCAGCTTGCCCATAAACCATTGCTTGTACTCCTGAGAGCCAGCTTTACATAGATGCAAGGTATTATTAGCACTGTCGCTAGAATGTGCTCGGTGTGTAAACAGGAGAGTCACCAGTGGAATGCCATGACGCTTATGGTATAAGAATCTCAGGTGATGAAACCTGTAAGTCCACTTGGGCTGTTCTCCTTCACACACTGAAAACTAAACACCGTGTCCACACTTCTGGCCAGTCCTAAGTTGTTCTGGACACAGGTACATCTATATGTGACCTGAGTCAGAAATGACTCTCAGAACGATTTCAGCATTGTAATTTTATAGCCACAGCACACACATTCTCAAAGCAACAGGGGGAAATACTTAGATAGGTCCCAGGAAGTAACAAAGGATTTTATACAGCCATCATTTGTCCTCATGAATTCCACTTAAAGAGGAGGAATGGAGGATAGTTTACCTTACAAATTCTAAGATTCTTTTTATTTTCATGGTTAACCACTTGAGATTGAGAAACAGCATACAATTAATGCCAGATTAAAGAGATTTTTGAGGTCCAGGCAGAGAAAGGACACGACAGCTACTACTGTCTGCACTAACTGAACCTTACTACGACTTTGTGCACCTAATTATTCCCTGATTGATGTGGTTTTGACAATATGAGGCACACTGTTACAGCATTGAAATGAAAAGTAACCATGCACTTAAAATTCCTGCCGTGTGTCATGCAATGTAAATTTCGGTAGAAGAAACTGCAAATTCTCGTGATAAAGCAAAAGGTTTTCACACTTAGGAAACATTAGTGTGACTAGTTCCTGCATGTAATGCAAAGATCTGTCAAAGATCATCAATTACTTTCAAGGAAAAAATGTTGAAATTTCAGCAATGTATAACTCAGGGGGGAAAATAACCACCAAACTTAAAATTAAAATACACAACAAAACTCCAGTATGCTTTGTAATCTTACTCTCATCCTAAAGGTGCTAAGCAGACCATAGCTTCCAGTGCAGCTAATCAAAGTACCAGGTCACCACGACAATGGAAAATAGGGACATAAGAATCTACAGAGCCAAGTGCTGGAGGCTCATGCCTGTAATCCTAGCTACTTGGGAGGCTGAGATCTGGAGGTTGGCAGCTCCAGGTCAATCTGGGCAAGTAGTTTGTGAGACCCCCATTTCCAAAACAGCCAGAGCAAAATGGACTGGAGTTGTGGCTCAAGTGGTAGAGTGCCCTGAATTCAAGCCCCAGACCCTCCCCCAATACACACACACACACACAACACACACACACACACACTCTATAGACTTCAAAATTAAACAATATTTTTTCCACCAAATTTTGTGATTCTTAAGAAGCAGATGGTGTGTATTTACATAGGTAAACACATGCTGCTTCCAGGAAAAATAAAACTATGTACAACTAATGTATTGTCATTTTCTCCTCAAAGGTTATTAAATCAGTATAATATATTCCTGTACACAGCATCTCAGAACTGACGCTCCCAGACAACATCCTTTCCTACTACCCTTCCTAATACAAAAACCCACACACTACATCATCGCAAGAGCTCTTAGAGTGGCATAGACGCTTACATCCTTCTGGACTTCTTCATATAACTAAAAATTAAACCAAGCATATGTGAGGGAGGGAGAAATAAGTAGCAAATGAAAACACAAAAGCAGGAGGCATTTTTATGGTGGAAAACATGTAGGGTATGTATTAAATTTTAAAAAGTTTTTGTCATTTTCCACATCACTTACTTCCAAGGATGGTCTGCGGTTTGTTCTTGTTATATTTCTCTTGGAATTTCTGGTAAGGAATATTAGAAACGTAAAATGAGATCAAAGCACCATCGGGCTACAAGAATGCAGACATCATTACACAGAACGGGATTCTTACCTGTATCATTTTCATTATTTTAGTTATTTCAAACAAAGAGGGATTCAAAGCAAAAGATATCAAATGCAACAAAGGGCAAAGTATGAGCCTGGAGGCGTAGCTCATTGGTACAGCACTTGCTTAACATGTGTGAGGCCCTGGGCTTGGTCTCCAGCACCATGTGCATAGTGAATAAATAAATAACCAGAACATAAAAAAAGAGAGCAAAATCTGATGACAATGACGTGTTCAATGACAATGATGTGTTCAGGTAATAATGAGATGAGCTTATGGACAATCCCTGTCACTAATGGCCTCAGGGCAACCAGAAATCTCCACCTCAGACCTTGGGGAGAGAGGCATCCTAGCAAAGCAGCCTTTCTCCTCCTTGTTTCCTTCTACTCCCCCATTCCTCCAGTACTGGAGACACCACCTTGAGCTCTGAAACATCTCTTCTAGAATAGCTCTCAGCCAGCAATGCTGCCTGACACAATGTTCGTTTCAGTTACTGCAGAAGTGAGGGACCCCAGGTTTTCGGCCAAGGGAACATCACGCTCACTCTCCTGCATTTCTGAACTGACTGTGGAGTGGGGAAGAAGGGAAGAACATTGCAGATGCCCTCATCTACACAAAGCCACCCCAAAGGTGGAGAACATTCCACCAGTGCAGTAGTCTCCCAGTGGGGTCTCAGCAGCATCAGGACCCTCAGGAACTTTCTAGAAATATACATCTTCAGTCCCTAGACCTCCAGGAGTGGGGCCCAGAAGTGTGGGTTTTAATAGGTCCTCCTGGTGACTGTGATACTGGCTGATGCTTGAGAATTTCTGATCTATTTTTCATTTATGAATACTCAGGCTTTCATTGCTAAACCCAGCATGTCTCCAGAAGCCTAACCTCCCCACAAATGGCCAGACTTAGGCCTTTTCTTCATTGCTAAGTGTACAGCTAAGTAAATAACATACTTTGAGCATGTGTTATGTTATCACTACAATGATCACTTTAGAGAATAGCAACTGAAAAAGAGCTAGGACTCAAACAGATAACCTGAAGCAAACAAGCTAGATACAGACCATGTATTCACCAGTGACTAAGAGATTACCTTGGTACATGGAGGCAAGGCGTCTTTACAACTCTTATGTGCATTTGCGTTACAGTCTGAAATAAAGGAAAAGACAAAAGCAACCACCTTACTGAAGCAAATCTGAGATGACTGAGACTACGTCGTGCTTTTACTGGTCATTATAAAAATGGCATAGAAAATTTACAAATATTTGGAAAGTTTAAGGCATGACAAATACTTAAATCCTGTCACATAGTTCCACACAAACCCAGGCACACTGTTGAATTTGAACTTCTTTGAAGATTTCTTTTTATCTTCTGCAATTATCTCATCAATTATGAAACCTGGAATTATGTACATGAGCCACTTCTGGCTCTGCCTGGGAATTCATTTCCTACTCTATGCATTATATATAAAGGATTTCTGCCACCCAACTGGAGCAATCTCCCACTCCAACACCAGGTAAAATGCCTAGGATGATGGTGGGGACGGGTGGGGGGGGGAACAAATAAAACAAGCTCCCAATGATGCTTTAAAAAAATAAGTATTGTCAGGCTGCAACAGAAATTCCTACTGAATAATTTAATGCCACATTAAATTAGAACACTTAAGTCACTTGTCCATGTTTTACATCATAAAACAATGTGGCCTCATTTCCCTGAAAGAAAGTAAGGGAATCTTTTCCTGCTCCTTTCTGCCCATGGGCACAAAGACCAGCTGTCCTCTTGGAAAGGGGTGACAGTGGGGACTGCTTTCTGCCAGGCTGCCATCTTCTTTCCAGTCCTGCCACCTGCCTTTACATCATCCTCTCGTCCACCCAACCTCCCACAGCTGGAGGAGCCTGTGGTGTGCCAGAAACTTCTTTAGAAAGAGTCCTTCCACACGAGCTGGAAAGCCCGCTAGGCTTGTCAAAGCCACACTGGATAGAGCTGTGATCGGGCGGGAAGAGGAGCTCTACACTGTCCCTCAGCTGCCTGGGGTCTGGAGAGGCTTTTCAGCCAACACCCAATGTCAAGGAGCAGAGGCGAGGCTGTTATGCATACCGGCCTTCCTGGCAAATGTGGAAATCTGACAGCTCCCTCCTCATTTCAGAACAAGAAAACAAAAGGAAGAAGAAAAAAGTATAAACTCTGAGATTCCACTGACTGGAAACTCATTGGAAGAGTGAACCTCTGAAAATGGAGGCCAGAAAGAGAGATGAAACGTGCAGATATTTGAGAGACAAAAGGCCAGGCTTTAATAAAAAAAGGACCAAAAGGCCAAGAACAGAAAACCAAGTGGGAGAATAGGCCAGCAGGAGAGAAGGGAGATGGGGCTTTGTGAGACAAGTAGTGACTGTAAGGAAGGGAGAGGGTGGAGGAGATCGAAACTGAACCAAGAGGGGCAGACAAAATACACAAAAATACCACATCAGTGCTATGAAATGAAACTTGAAAGATCCCCTCCAGGACATGGAGAAGAAGGGTGTAATTATAAAATAGAAGATGTCACACAAAGAAGACAGATATCAGAGTCGCAGTTATCCCAGGAAGAAATCAGAAAAAAGTTAGATCAGAGTACTAATACTTAAAGGTACAATAGAAAAAAAAACAGGCACCTCAAAAGACAAGTCAAAAGCTTTTGCTGGGGCCGGGTGCCAGTGAGTGGCTCACGCCTGTAATCCTAGCTACTCAGGAGGTAGAGATCAGGAGGATCTTGGTTTGAAGCCAGCCCAGGCAAATAGCTCCCAAGACCCTATCTGGAAAAACCCATCACAAGAAAGGCTGGTGGAGTGGCTCAAGGTGTAGGCCCTGAGGTCAAGCCTCAGAAGCAAAAAAAAAAAGTCCAAAAGTTCTTGCCATTTTCAAATAATGACAATGTGACACCTCTGATGATATCCACATGATGAAAAATTCAGAAGTCCTCTAGCATGGAGGCAGAAAGGGTGGGGTTACCACCAACAGAATCAGATCAGGCAAGCTCCAAACTCCTCCAGTGATAGTAAGTGCTCAGCTATATTGTATCTTGAACAGAAAGATTTTGATCCAATGTTTCATATAGCCAGGTAAATTTTTCTTCTATGAAAGAAGCACGGATATACCTTCAGGTACACAAGGTTTCAGGAAACTGCTCCATCCTATTCTTGCTACTGAGCTCAGTATCAAAATTAAGAGTTCAACAATAGATGGACTATAGTTTAAAAAAAAAAAAAAAGAAGCAAAAGCCAGTAGAACAGCCCAAAGAAAGAACATCTAAAAACTGTTATAAGTAGAGGTATATAACTAAATAAAAACTTTTTTCTTGAAATGGAAAATTATTCTTGAAAGATTAAATATACAGTGTAAAAGTATAGTACATTATTCAGTAAAATTATACAGTAATTATATATTATACAATTTTATTAATGTAAATTCAGTACATTAACATAAGCTGACGGGGAAGGAGTAAAGACAAGGAAAATAAGAGTTTTAAGTTATTAGCCTCACATAGCCTCAAAGCCTTCATTAGTAAACATTAAAAGAGTGGATCTTGCCAAATCCCAGGAGAGAATAAAAGCCAACACATGGTCTAAATAGCTGAGCCAGACATCAAGGAAAACAGCAAGGAACTACAAAAGACAGTTGGAAGTTGTAAAATTAAACGTAAATAAGAAAAACCCTTTGTTATAAAACCAGATCTTTCAGTTACATATAACAGGTTACCTCTAGCCAAATGAAAGACACACGCCCCAAATCAAAACCACAGAAAGAGTTAAAGAAAATACAAAGAAAAGAAAAAGAAATAACAATTTTAGACACAGTAAAATTTAATGCAAAAGGCATTTATTGATATTAAAGGGTAATTTTATGTTGATTAAAGTTAAATCTGAAATGAAAGAGTGATTTGGAAATCTCTATGCACTAAATGATATAATATTAAAATATAAGCAGTAAAATCTATAAACAAGGAGAACTCTATAGAAATATAATTTTTGTAGAAAGTTAGTAACTTGAGCTCTAACAGAGAAAAGTGACACCCCATTCTGACTACTTATAAAATGCATTTTCTGTATCATGTCATGCTTTTAAGATTAGAAAAACAACCCTCACAATTAAAAACAAAAATATGCCCATGGAATATGATTAACTACCGAAAACAACAGAGATTATCCATGTCACATTCTGTTACCCAATATAAATACCTAACATTAACAAGCAAATTAATGTTGGGAGCCACCAACACCCTTTCACTCCCTCCCCACCCAAAAAAGAACAGTGATGTTAAAACTAATTCTAAAAAAACTGAGAGTTGAAGAGAAAATCAAGTGTACTCTTTGACATACATACTTATTCTGGAATTTATTCTAATGGGATAATCAATGATGTAAACAGAGATAGATACAAATGGATACTCATTTGTGTTGTGAAAAAAAATAGGAAAAATTATAGCTAGGGGTCATGGCTCACGCCTGTAATCCTAGCTACTCAGGAGGCAGAAATCAGGAGGATCATGGTTCAAAGACAGCCCCAGGCAAATAGTTTGTGAGACCCTATCTCAAAAGAACCCATCACAAAAAAAGGGCTGGTGGAGTGGCTCAAGGTGTAGGCCCTGAGTTCAAACCCCAGTACCACAAAAAAAAGAAGAAAAAGTTAATCATACAGTAGAATAATTAAATGCAATCTGACATCACATCAAATGAAACATTGTCATTTAAAGTTGACATAGATTTTTATAGTTGGAAGGGGCACCATCAAAATATTAATAGCAATTTTCTAGGTGGTAAAATTTTGGGTAATTTTAAGTTTCTCCTTAAACCATCTATCTTCCATGACTCCTAATCCATTTTTTTAAGTAATGACTGTTTTAACAGCTACATATATATTAGATGCTTTCAGCAATTCCCAACTTCCACTACAACCTCCATCTCAACCCACTTAATGAACTCAATATGAGCCAACCCCTTGTTTGCCACAACAGTTTACCTTTTGGTGGGTTCTGGCTACCCAGGCCTTATCAGTCACTAACTGGACACGAGCGTCTAAAGGCCAGCTTCAGGAAACCTGCTGTAGGTGCTAATTAAGAGTCATATGTGGGGGAAGGGGGGTTGGTTGGCACTGGTTGGGGGAGGTGGCAGGGAAAGGAGTAGGAGGGTGAATATGGTGTAAACAATGTATATACAAGTGTGTAAATGCAAAAATGATACCTGCTGAAACTGTTCCAGGAATCATGGGGGGAGGGAAGATTCAAGTATGATATATTTGATACATTGTAAGAATCTCTATAAATGCTACAATGTGCCCTCACCCAGCAGAACAATAAAATAAAACTGCTGTGTGACTATAGCCCTTAGTTTATTTTAGCAGTTAAAAACTGGAGAGATTGTACATAACCTAATGCTAAACTGAACAGGATAAATCATTAAGGTGATTGGTGGGACTTTGGATCACAGTGGACAGGGGAGACCTCTGAAGAGAAGGTGAAATTTCTAGATCCAGATGCTGGAGTAGGTGAATCTGAGAGAAGGGATTTTATCATGAGCAAGACAGGGGCAGGGCTGGAAAATCCCTGTAGGGAGAGTCAAGGGTCATGGGAACCACAGGTTGTCAACCAGAGCTAAAGGGGAAGTGTGGGCCAGTTAGCAGGTTGCAGGTGAGGTGCTCAATGCCCAGAAAGAGCTTGAACTTGGCTCAGCAAACAAAAGACAGAATCGTCCTTAAATTCACGTGGGCTGATGACAGCGGCGTTTTATAAAGATTAATGAGGTGAAAGTGCTCATTATACACTGCAGATGAAAATCCCTGGGGAGGGAAAGTAGCACAATCCACCCTCGGCAGGTCAGAAGGCAGTGACAAGAACCTGCCCAGGTGAAACAGAGGCCAAAGAACATTGACCTTCAACCTCAGGGGAAAAAGGGAGCAGAATCACCAGGGTCAGGGTTTAGTTTGCAGTGCTATTCACCCATGCAGGAGGCAGTCATCTGCATGTGGATTTTAAGGTTGGCTTTAGACATATATGTTGGGTCTGGGAGACAATGAGAACTGTGAGTGACAATTCCCAAGTATAAGGTCACCTAGGGCCAGTGTGCCTGTGACAGTCTTGTTTTGTATCTGTCATTTATTCCATCATTGTTCTCAAAAGTGGTCATGGAGCACAAAGTGTGAAGGCTCTAGGCAACTGGAAATGTGGTAGCAAAAGGTAGGGGACAAAGACTTTAATCTGAGAAGAAATGGGGCATTTTAGAACATATAGCTGATGACTATTCTTAGAAATAATAAAGAGAAAAAGAATAAACGCCCAAGAACGGAGTTTAGAGGGCACCCAGGTTTAGGAAAAGGAGACCACGCAGGTGGTAAAACAGAAGAGTAGCACAACATAGAAAAATGAACATTTACCTAAAGAAGGGATTACTGTCCAGAGACAAAACACATCACTAGACCAAACACTAGACCAAGAACTTACTGGAACACTGGAGTGACTCTTTCCCCAGGAGCGTTTTATCACAAGCCGAACACTGCAGAACCCCAGAGAATGTTCCTGGGACAAACTGATGTCGGTTCAGTTTTTCTTTGTCTTTGGCATCCTTGTTTTTCATCTTCACAACAGCAGCAACAGCAGGAAAATGGGGGTAAATGTGAAAAGACAAACATTGTGAGCCGGCCTTCTAATGGAGGTCAGAGGACAAAGCCTGCCTGTTCTGTGGGGTATCAGGACTGCACAACCAAGAACACAACACCAAAATGTACTAGTCCCCAGGATGACTTGGGCGATAATCAATAAGAAAGGAATATGTAAAATCTAAGGTAAGTGATTTTAAAGGGAGCATGTAAACGATAGCAATGGCAGAGAAATGAAGTCACCCTTGCTTTCAGAAAACAGGTGCCCACCCTGAGTTACCTTGGATTTATTCCGAGGGCTGGTCATCCTATTCATAAGGAAACTGAAAGTCCGGCTCACTTTATACTTTTCAGACTCTGATTTGGCAGGGATGATGTATTTATCCCATTCTTCTTCCTGAATCCTAAAAAACAAACCAACAAAAAAAACAATCTGTTATCACATCTTACAGGACTTAAAGAGGGAGCAAAGAATGGCATACACAAACATACATGTTTGTATGTGCATACACATTTTAAGTATGTCTCAGAGATAAGTACATATTAGCTACTAATTCTGAGAAAGAGAAGTTTAAGGGGTAGGAGTTAGTTAGGAAATACTTATTATAGAAATATTCTACAGAAGTGTTATCTGGTTTGACATGAAACTTAGCTCAAATTTTTATATGTTCTTAGATTTTACATTTTTAGATTTATTATAATGGTTGTTTTGAAGAGAAAAAATGGAAATTCTTCATTAAAAATACTAGGGAAATAAAATAATTCTTAGACCTATAATTTAACTATGACAACAGTCATCTCCCTGTTTACTATGCTAACAGAAATTTCCAAGGACACAGAGAAGTCAAATAACCAACAATCTGAAACTGGGTTTTACTTTGGGAACACAAGGATAATACTGAGTAGACACAAGTTTCCTTTGTTGATAAAGCCTGAGCATCAGGCTCTTGCTTCAGTCTCTCCTGCTCAGTCAGGCTGTTTGCAATCTGAGACTCTCTAGGCTGTAAAGGAGAGAAGACTGTCTATACTCCCTCCCCCACATCACCCAAAATAAAAGGCAAGCTAGAGGTAATTATCCTGAATACTTTCTTTCCTCTAATCCATATAGCCATTCTCTAGAAAAATCTATGAAAAGTTACATTTCTCTCTAAGAATTCCTCTAATAATCTTATGTCTTTTAATATTATTAATGACAGAGAGAGACTATATTAAGATTCGAGCTAGTTATCATGTCAAACTAGATAACACTTCTGTAGACTATTTCTATAAAAAATATTTCCTAACTCCTACCCCTTAAACTTCTCTTTTTCAGTATTAGTGGCTAATATCTGGAAAATACTTAAAAGCTATCATATTACTGATCAATATATATGGTTACATTTCATGAAAATGTTTCCTTCATCAAAAACTTTTAGGACCTAAGTTTATTTCATTTGATTAATGAAAGGCTTAGACTAAATTATTTCTAGGGCCCATCCCACCACTTACCTGATATATAACAAAACTAAATTATTTAAACTCTATCATGTTAGGTACTTCAGAGTTCAAACTTATAAGTACATTTATTTTTTTAAAAAATTGGCTTTAGGGCTGCCTCCCTGCCACATAAGTCTAAAGGCATGGTTGGGACAGTATGCATCCTGCTACCCAAATTCTGCACAGTAAATGAAATTGGGTTTTTCTATTGAGAGGAAGCATTGGAAAAAGCTAGAAAGGAAAGCAAGAGAATAGAAAGTAAATAGAATTGAATGATGACTTACAGTAATGGAAGGATTTCAGAACTTCTGACTAACTTATCTTCTACTTCCACAGCCACCTCTAGTCATGTTTGCCTTAGGCAATGGACTGGTTAATATAATCTAAATTTTCCCCAAATTAGGATATATGGTATCTTAGACATCCTAATTTGCAAACCTCATGTCATAATATTCTATAGGATCACTTTCTGGAATCGGGGGAAAAGCACATTTGAGAGTTTAGAAGGAAATTTGGTCTTAAGCTGGGCATGACACAGTGCTTGTCTGTAATCCCAGCACTTGGGAAGAGAGGCAGGACAATCAAGACGTCAAGGCCAACCTGGGATACAGAATGAGTTTCAGGCCAGTCTGGGCTTTAGAGCAAGACACTGCCTCAAGAAAAATCCTATTATGGAACCCCTTTTGTGACTCCACTAAGTATCAATGTCTAAGAAAAGAGCTGTATAGTAAAAAAGACTTATCTCAGAATTAAAGGATGACCAGCATGGATATTTGGGCCAAGAAGTCCCCTCCCCAACTTCCCAGCAATAGATTTCGACTCTCAAATAAAAGAAAATTTATTGTTGGTTACCTATCCTACTTCCTATTCTCTGTATTATTGAAGATTACATCCAGAAAAAAATTAGTTTTGATTAAAAGCCTGTAAGTGCACTACAATTTACCATACTGCACACCTTATATACTTCTACACAATGCCACACAACCACACCCTTTAATCTTTTAGGCTCAAAGGTTGATGAGATCTGGGAAAAAAGTAAACATACCAGGTCTAAATACTAAATATGAAAAACAGAACCACCATCCACCCTGGTAGAAAAATTAAATATTACAGACAACCCACTATCAGATTATGAGAATGGGAAAATATAAGCAGTTAGCTGATTAAAATATGTGACATTCATCTATATAGCAATCAGCTACTTTAGATAAGAACTGATAAGAAAAATCCTCAACTGATTGCAGAATTTAAATAGCTTTTAAATTGATAAGAATCTGGAAAAAAGTTCTCTTTTTTAAAACTTTTTTATTGTTATTATTATTGTACTGGGGGGTACGTTGTGACATTTACAAAAGTGCTTACGGTATATCTTAATTAAATTCACCCCCTCCTTCATTCTCCTTTAATTCTCCCTCCCCCCAAATTAAGTTTTTTTCAACACCCCAGAACAGGAATGTCTAATTTCTATAATCAGTTCAATGCAGTCACTCACAATAAAGTTTTACAAGCCCCAATCTTCAGAGATTCTCCTGGTACTGCCTTTTAAATGGGTAAGCAGATATTTTAAATGTTAAGAATATAGATCCTCAATATCTTAATACTTAGTTATACCTATAATCTTCTATTTTTTTTAAGAACCGGGCATCTAAACTGTTAAAATAAGTTCCCACTATGCAAACTGAAAATTGACACAGTGGTACTTCCGCACTTCCTTTAACATTCAGATAGATTTTTTTTTCTTTAAAAAGTAATAGATATACTAGATTTAAGTTAGATGATGACAATAAAATAACTGCATCATACTATACAATCTTTAAAACAAAACTGGAACAGATGGAGTATCTGTTGAAATGAGCCTGCAAGGGCTGGAGTGAGTCCTCTTTTACGTGGAAGCATCCTTTTCTAGAAACTAAGTGATTAGTATAAATAAGAGCATTCCAAAGAGGGCAGTTCTGGGGTGATTATCTATAATATCACTAAAGCAAAGCATTGGGTAGGGGCTTGCTGGCATATCCAGCAAGACATCAGGAATAGAGTAGGCGAGAAAGATCTACTCTACTAAATACTCCAAGGGGAGGAACTGAAGGGTCGGGTACTTCCAGTATGTGAGACAAAGGAAGATGACAGAACAGAAACAAACAGGAGTGACAGGGAATGAGAAAGGGCCTCCATACACACCCGATCCAAGTTCAAACATTTCATAAACTACTATTTAACCTAGTACGACATTAGCTCCTACGTATTAACTCCTTCTCGTAGTAGAATAATTTTGTTTTAGAACATTTTTATAATCTTTAAGCCTTTATAATCTTGATCACCAATTATTTTAAAAGATGACAGGAAGAAAACTACACAAAACGATAACCAAGATGATGACCAAACTCCAGAATTAGGATGCAAGCTACTTGTATAAGTAATGAATATAAACTGCTCAAAACAGCACAAGATACATAAAAACATCCAATAACTGTCAATAACAACTGCTTTTGCCATAATCATTGTCATTGTCACAATGCTGTCTTCACCATCACCATGTCCTTCCTTTGTTTGTATCTTTTTGGAATTTCTATTCTGGTCTTTAAAAAAGATAGCTATCAACCAAAAGAGACTTTTTTATTGGTACATTCATTCCAAGATTTAAAATGAAATAGTCTATTTTGATCTATATAAATTAAAAGGTTTCAGAGCTTTAATATTAATATCACCAAGATTAAAGCTCTGTTACTGTTTTCCAGACGGCTCCTTAAAGCCAAACATTTATGTCATCTCTGGCACTTATGCACATCACCCCAGGGCTATTCCACAGTGACTCATGTTCCGTCAGTTATTCAAGGCCAACAGAACCCAGCAAGCCTGCTTGCATCATGGTCTGCTTCTCCAGCTTTGCTCTGGCAACAGTTTACCTTCTACGAAAAAGAGAAGCTTAGGCTTAAGACATTCTTTAAGTCAACCAGAAAAGTGGTAATGCTCAAGATAATTCCTGCATCATTTATTCTTTGTGTCAAACCTAACACTGCTAAGCAACAATCCCAAGGGAAGAGAGTGGGGATGTTCAGGCAGTCCATAATGACCCCTTAGGACCTGCTACTAGAGTCATCTGGGTGTCATGGACAATCACCCAGAGCAAACCTGCTGCCTTCTGAGGCAGGTGGTCCTCACACCTTTCCCTGGAAGTATTCAGCCTTTAAAATAACACAAGACAGAACATCCTGTCCCTAGTCCTGAGGCCAACTCACCTGAGGCCAGCCTGAAAGGGGACAGCTGACACACCAACACAGAGCACAGAAGGAATAAAGGAGCATCAGCAGGTTATTATATAACCTCTGACCAACTACTGAGCAAAGAAAAGTGACGTGAAGTTTGCAAAGATGGATCAAGCAGTGCCTATAGAAATTGGAACAAAGTACCTTTTCTCTCCTGGTGGCTCCGGTAAGCTGTAAACTCTTTGCTCTGTAAGACACAGAACGATAAAATGAAAACTAAAGCATGAGACAAATTCATGGTCACGTTAATACGAAATGCACACATTCATCATATTTTATCATTATGCACACTACTATCTGCAAAGCAATGAGAAACCAAGGAATTTTATACAACCAAGGCATTGTTCTACATATCTTATTGCTTTCTCTAGTTTGGAAAGGTTGGAGAGGAGGTCAGTTTTATGATTTGAAGAACTAAGCATCAGCAAGGAGAAGCAGACATTTTTCAGAAGTGCAGAAAATTGGTTCTATATTTTTGGATTTTTCTCACCAGAGCTTCACCCCTGTTCATAACATGAATTCCCCAATGTATAGAATCAATAAATATCTTAGCCATTTTTTTAGCAAAGCTCAAAGGAAAATTCCCGAAGGCCAGCGTAAGAAAGAGTCTATTTTAATATGGTTGCAATATCTCTGGAAAATCCCTGGAGCAGCCAATTGGAAGATGTGCTTAGTGGCTGGTGGGAAAGGAGAACCACCTTTCTCTTTAGACTTTGGGGTAGGAGGTCAGGCTCATGCAAGCTTGGCACCATCTTGTTTCCAAATTTGGAGTACTTACTATGGGGATGGAGTAGAGACACTGACTTACTTTACACAGGGAGAAAGACTGAAGGAGGGAATGCTCATTGTGGAGCACACCATCTACAGAGCAGGACAAATTCTTTACTATTACAATCCAAAACAGAGGAGAGGCAAAACTAGGTTGTAAAGGAAATGGGCCTGATATACAATGAGAATAAATGTTACATGATATGTGATAATATCATCATTATACCTGGTACTATCTTGTCCATAACAGGAAATCTACTTTGATAAAGTCAAAAGCTTCATTTTATAGCAATTATAAAACTTCCTCAAATTAAGTTTAGATAGAAATTATGATTCTTACTATAAACAGGGTGAAATGCCAAAAAATGAGATACAAGATAATCAAATTGAAAAGTAATAGGACAGGGTTAGGCAATTGCACACAATTTAATAAGATTCCACCTATCAATTCACAGTAACTTTCAAAAGTATGTTGACTTCACTCTTCAAATTCTTAAGTGTTGAATGCTCTTGTCAATCTTGGTGAGGTTGTAATTATTATCTAAATAGTGACAATGTTCCTTTCTATCTAAACCCATAAATTACCAAAGGAAATTATAAATCTGGACTTCATTTCATGTATATGAGCATTAAATAGTAATGTCACTGCTGTACTCTTGACTCAGAAAAAAATTCATGAAAAATCATAGTAACTAACACTTTGGAAGTGACAATGTGTCAAATAAGAATAAACAGGATTGAAAAAGCATCTAAGTTTGGACATGTGAATTATACCTTCTAAATGGGAGCTCTTCCCAAGAACAAATAGAGGAAAATTTTTAGAAATACCCAAAATTCATCTAAAGACTATTAATGGCAATACAAACATCAATTTACTTTTGATTAAACTAAGCTAACTAAAAATGAAACATTAGAATATGTCTTTGAACTATGCAAGCTTTCACACCTGTGTTCTCCTTACATAAACACAGTTAAAATTATTTTTCTTCAGTAGGAGGTATTTTCTCTTGTAGCCTACAATTTTGACTGCCCTTCATGACATCCATGCAATCAGTCACAACGATGGTGTCTATCCACTGGAATCTTTGCATGTGTAGCGTGCAGCTCAATCTAAATCAGCTGGGTGGTTACAATGCTTACCTTGTGGATAGTGTTAAACTTTACTTGAGTAGCCCCATCTCTAAATACACTTTCAAAAGACAAGGTTTTATTTGCAGAAAGAGACCCAAGGAATTGATGTCAGCTTTTTAGTCTTTCTAATCAAATGCAAAGGTTTAAAGTTTGTATGTAAGGTAAGGGTTAGGGTTTCTTGTCCATTAAAAAACGAATAACAAGGCATGATTCCCTTAACAATTTCCTTTCAGTCATCTGGTCAATAATTTCAAACTTTGGAACTCTCTGACTTTACAGATCAGAGAAAGCACAGACATAAAGGTGAGGCCATCACGTTGCATATTGCATGCAGGAATTAAACACATTTTCCAGAGACTAACAGTGTAAAGTTAATTCACCAACTGCGACTGTCAGTCATGAGGTATCAAGTTGCTGTTGAAAAGAACCCAAATGAAGGTTGGAGAGACCTGGAGACCTAAAAATACCTACAAAAAATTTTAAAAGTCCAAAGGTAGTCCCTCTCAAGCTAGTACTCCTTTTAAAAAATTTTCTCTGAGAACTTTCTTTTAGAATCTGTTCATTCCAAAAATAAAAACTGGCATTTATTTATCAGCTTACTTTTATTTCTTTTCCAAGAAAACATCCCAGAAAAGTGGCGGGGGAAGCCCCAAAGAGGCATTTGTTTCATATTTTTATGTATTTTGTCTATCATATTAACTCAATAAGTATTTGTTAAACGTACTATACAAAAGTCATTATTTCAGGATGGCAGTTTCCAGCATAAAGATTATATTCACAGTGTTGTTCACATGACACAATGCAAGACAGTAATTAAAGTTAATTAATAAGGTAAAATGAGAAGAAAGGAAAAGGAGGAAAGAGCAAATCAATCCT